AATGTGACAGACGTATCTACATACCATTCAAAACTCAAAAATCAGCTTTTATCTAATTTACTTTGATACAGCAGGCATTTTTAAAGAGATAGTGACCTATATCTTGTTCTTATTGCTGAAAACATCCAAATATTTTTCATTATTTTTTCCATCTGAGCCCAAAAGAGTTTGTAAACTGGATGTCTTTCAGCTATAAAAGTTTTGGATCTACAATGATTTAAACTTCAATTTTCTACAAAAACTTGTTCAGTTAGAATTATTGTATACATATATGCTTAGTTTATTGTTGAGCAGTGAAAACTTTCTTAAAAATTGTAATTTTATTGTAGTTTTTAGAATTAACATGACAAAAAGTTTGGATATTGTCCTAAAAGGTAACTTTAAGCCATTTTGGGATTAATTGTACATTTAGGAAGAAGTTTTTACTTCAAAGTTTAATGGAGAAACTTCTGGAAGGACACCCAGAAACGACTGATTTAATTTGTTCAACTGCCTTAACTTTAAGAAGTTAAAGAAAGTTGATATATTTATAAAATCTAAGCCTTGACTTCACTTAAATCAGATCTTGTGACCGTTTGAGCGGTGGCACAAGCAGCAGATGAAGGACGCATACGTGCCAAGGTCCTAGCTTGGGAGGCGGGGGAGAAAGAAATTAAACTGTTGCGTGATAATGGCCGTGTGTAATGGCTGTGTTCAGAGCCACTGAAGCATGAACACCCAAACACAGTCCTCCCTAAACGCTGTGCATTAACTTTAACGTTCAAATAATGTTAACAATGTTCACTTTTTAATCAGGCGGCTGCTCAGCTAACAGGCTGTGGAGTTGCTTCCTTTTTCCCGATGTTTTTATCTAGAAATGTTCATTAAACGTCTAAAAAGAGAACATAAATGAGAGAAAAGACACCTATTATGTAAGAGAGATTTATTTTAACAATATTATAGATGTGAAGTGTGTCAAAATTTGGTTTATTTAATCTCAAAGTTCGTTTTGTTTAGTCAAAAAGTTATGCTAACTTGCTATTTACGGTTGGTGGTTACCATAGCAACTGGTAACTGATGGCCCCCGTTCTCCTTTTTCTGTCGCCATTCAGTAACTGTGATGGAATCAGCTGTGTTTTCTTTACGAGTATTAATATTTTAACAGTTATTTTTGATTAATTTTATTATATACAGTATTTAAAGTGCAATTTTGCCATGTTTTGTATATGTATTTTTTAACATTTGTCATAATTAATGTGCATTTTACTTTACAACTTTTAACTGTTCATTGGGAGCCATTGTGCTATAGTTTTGCTTTGGGTTATTTATTGTGTTTTTATTGAATGTATACTGGTAGAAGATGATTTTCTCTAGTTAGATATGTTTTAATTTTATATACAAAGTAATGTTTCAGTTATTGTGTGATAGTTTTGAATGTGTGTGGTTTTTATTTCCTGTACTGAAAAGTATATTCGCTGTTCTTTATGTTAAGGATGAGATTAGTTATGTGGATTAATAATGTAAATGTTAGATACACTATGAGATCACAGTCAGCTCTGTTGCCGTCGGTTACTGGGACAGAAACTCTCACAGATATTTTAGCTATGGCACGAAGTTGCTGCGTTATTGGGTGTAATGTCTGATCACACGACCGAAAAGGTAAAAAGATGGAAAACGGTCTTTCTTTTCACTATTTTCCTGCTTGGAAACAACGCGAGGAAGCTAAGTTATCGGTGCTAACGAAAAGAAGACGAATGTCCTGGTGTCAGCGGTGAGACGTCCTGATATTACGTTCTCCAACATCCCCAGATACCTACAAGTTTGCTCCAGACATTTCCATTCTGCTGAGTCTAAATTCGCTTTGTTAGTGCTGTGTCATAATTTATTTTGCTATGATTTTGTCCGGGTGTACTCATGATCAGTTTCTGTTGAGTTCATTTAAGTGGGTCAACCTTGTTTAGGTCGGGCTAATATTGTTTATGTAGCGTAGTCCGAGTTTTGTCAGTGGACATCGAGGTTATTACATTAAGTAAACTATTTTACTAGTGTTATCAAATTTCCAGTATTCATACTGATGTGTGTTCTGATATGCCCTCTTGAAGGCAAACCGACGTACAAAATGGATTAGCTCAATCCTGACTGGGGTCCAGCGCTGAATATGGGTCACTGCGAGGTAAACACCACAACATAAGACCGACATGGGCGTCAATTAAAGAGGCGATACAGCAAAACCATCAATAAGTGGAGGAGCGAGTTACAGAGACTGTTTTTATTATTTACCCCAGAAGAGGTAAATAATGAAAACACAGTTCCAGAGGCTGTAGATGAGGAGCAAGTTGGAAAGACTGAGGAGGAAACGCCAGGAGAGGAGCTCAGCAAGGCTGCAGAAATATGTGTACAGTTGGAAGTGGCTGTTTTCTCTCATTCAATAATTTCATGTGGGAAACATTCAGGAAACATTTGATTCAAGTCTTTCAAATTGCATGTAAACAGGTGAAGAAATTAACCACATTTAAAGTAAAAATTTGATATTATTAAAGGAAGATATATATATAGTAGTACTATTAGGTTTTTTCTCTGCTTAGATCAGTGTTTCTCAACTATGGTCCTCACCGGCCCCCTACTCTGCATGTTTTAGATGTGCCTCTACTCCTGAACAGCTGATTCAAATTATTGCATGACCATCAAGTACTGCAGAAGCCTGTTAATCACCCAGAGATATAATTCAGGTGTGTGGCAGAAGGGAAGCAACTAAAACATGCAGGACAGGGGGGCGGTGAGGACCAGGGTTGAGAAACACTGGTTTAGATCTTCACATTACCTTTGTTATCCCTTTGTTTCATTGTGTTTTGGATTTCCTTGGATTTTGGATTTAGTTTTAGTTCATTAAAAATAACATCCACATAAAGTGTGTCCACCGCCACACCACATCATGACACAAACCAGATGAAAAAGCCCATCTTTAAAGATTTAATGTGTAATTAAACAATAAAAGTGACAAGTAAATTTTATGAAACAGATCACACTTTAATAAATATTTGTTGTATTTAACATATTTCAGGTAAGCAAACATATAATGAAATAGATCCAGTTCTAGAATTTTATGTAATTGAACATTACAGGTTACAAATGTTTTTATCATCTGAGGTAATTTATTTTATTAACTTTTAAAAAAATATATTTTTTAAATATAAATTTGGTCAAAAAATAAAAAGGGGGTCAAAATGAAATAAAAATATGCCTCATCTATATAGCTTAGTAGAATTTCACAGATTTTGTGTTAATAGGTCACATGACCTAGAAGCTATTGAAGAAAAAAACTAAATAAATAGCTAAAAAAAATATATATAAAGTGTTCAAATGTAATAAAGATGAGTGTGCCTCATTTATACAGTCTAGTAGAATAATTTCTCAGATTTTAAATTAATGGGGCACACGATTTGGAAGCTATTGAAGAAAACATTTAATATTTAAAATATTGAATATGACTTAACCATTTTATAGAGGATAGCATGCCTCGTTTAATAGCATGAATTGCCACTTTTTTGTATTAGTTGGTCACAAGTCAAAGCATTTATTTACAGGAGTGTTCAGAAATTGACGGTCCCTATGTGAAACTCCGAGCGCTTCAGGAGGCATCGGTAGAGAACAGCTGGCCGAAATTAGCGTTCATAAATCGGATCAACCTTGAGCTGAACGTCCCTTACTCCGCGGAGGGCGAATATCCAGTATCCAATTTGCAAAACAACTTCGCTGCGGACGGTAATACAATGAAAACACCGGTGTTCTGACTAGTTTGTTTTGGTCTGTGGGCTGCAAACATGGCGCCGAGCGACGTAAACGTCATACGCTGTGACGTCAGCTCCAAAGCTCTATATTGATTTTCTCTCTAGTTGGACATAATAATAGAGTGAACCTGAGTGTTTGTTGTGAAGTTATCCTACTAGACGTTAAACAAACACAAAAGGGCCACAAATATATATAATATATATGAGATTACAGGAAGTAAACAGAAAAAAACACTCCAGATGAGTGTTTGTATACCTAATGAAGACTAAAGGAGAGTAGAATGTCAAAGGTGTCTGATGATAATGGGGCAGAGACCCTTAGTGACATTTCAATTACCTCCCTCATTAATTCAGTCACAAGTGAGCAGCTGGTGACAGAGAATATAATCGATGGGCAATTAATTGATTTCCTAGAGGGGGCCTGTTAGCGCCCGGGCTGCTAATCGATAGTGACAACCCTGAATTACCAGAGAGGGTCAGACTCACTGAAATGTCCCTCAGTAGCTGTAAACATGGATGTTAAAGAACTTAATTTGGCAGAAAAAGTAACACCTGTTAAAAATAAGAAGTATTTTTCCAAGAAAGAAAACAGGTGCTACAGAAACTGCAATGTTTTTTCAATCTTATGTATTTTCCAGGTTTATAGGGTTTAAATTGATAATTTAAACAGTAAATAGAAAGAAACACTGGCTTGACTGAACAAACAATGAACTGAAACGGAAATATGTTATAAAACAAACATAGAATTGATCAAAATAGTTTTGATCATCTTTGTTGTTATGCAACTAACAGATGAGGTTGGTAAAGTATCCAATAATTACACTTAAGTGAAAATAAAAAGTATCCATCCAAGAAATTACTCAAGTAAAAGTAAAACAGTATTTGGTAAAAAGCCTACTTAAGTACTGCGATGGACCAAAATATAAAGTTAAGTGGAATTTTTGGTATTTTAAGAACCAAAATGACAAAGTAACAGAAAATAACATGTTTCTAAATCAGTTTCTTTCAATGTCAAGCTTATGAAACTTTGACCCAAACAGGTCTGTGTCTGGTGAATTATTTGGTTAAAACATGTTTGATGTTCATTCAGTACAGAAAGTGCAGACAGTAGCAATGCTTCTAATAAAATTACTGTTCTCAAGGTACAGCGTATGAGAAGTTTTGTTTTTTTCTTCAAAAGTTACTCAAGTAAATGTAACTAGTTACTACCCAACTCTGGATATTAGTTTGGACTTCACAACAAAAGCTCCTCCTTCATCCCTCTGAGGTCATCCCTCCATCATCATCATCGTCCCTCCGGCAGGTGCTGAAAAGCCGCAACTTGCCGCCCCGCATTCACTTTTCCCGCAAACTGCGAGTCCGGCAGCATGAGGAGTCTGAACAACCGGGCCGAGAGCCACCTGACGGGCCGAGCCGAGTCCGAGCTGGACGCCATGGCGGACGGCGGCTGGGTGAACCACGGCTACTGCGGCTCCCCTGCGCCGCTGGTCAGCACCATCTACAGCCCCCAGCCGGCCTCCCTGCACCGGGGCTGCAAACTGGACCGCATCCAGGAGGAACCGGGCAGCTCCGACCAGAGCCCTGTGAAGAGGAACAGAGGCTGCTGCAGCTTTATCAAAGGTGGGGAAACATTTAAGTTTTACAAAAATATATATCGACTTCTGTCTGCATAATGAGTGTTATCTGTGGAAAACGGTAGAAAGAGACTTCTTTTTACCACAGCGTAATACACATAGGAAACACTCAGAAATTTTCCAATATCCTATATAAGACCTGGAAATTTCTAGCAAATTTCTAGCAAGAAAAAAATCTTAAAATGTTATATTCATTTCAGAAATTTTCTACACAACAACTTGGACATTTTAGAGTTTCAAAATTGGAGAATGTTTGATTTTTGCAACTCAGAAAAACAGAAAAAATCCAAAGGTAGAAAATTGTCTACTTTTGAAACGGAAAATTTGAGAAAATAAATAAATAAATAAATTTTATGTGTTTTTCTAGAATATTTCTGAGTTTATTCTCAAAATTTCTGCTTTTCTAGCATAATTTTCGAACTTTTCAAACTGATATTTCAGTGTTTTTTCTATAACATTTTTTAGGTTAATCTCAAATTTTTCGATTTTTTCCAGCAAATCTTAGACTTTTCAAACAGAATTTTCAATTTTTCTTTCTTGAACATTTCTGACATTAATCTAAAAATATTTGAGTTTTCTGGCAGAACTTTACTCATCCTTCTCCCTTTACACAGTGACTCTAACACGTCTTTGTGCATTTATGTTTGCTGCAGCGTTTTGGGGAACAGCTTGGACAGAAAACACGTCCAACAACAGGGAAAAGTTCATCCGCACCACTCTGAGGGAGCTGCTGGTCTACCTGGTGTTCCTGCTGGATGTTTGTCTCTGTAAGTGCTTTGAATTTCTGAACAGGTTTAATGTCCTGGTTAAATCACAAAGTCCCCTTTGTGATATTTACCACTACATGCCTCTGCTAGTTTCATCCTAAATGTTTGTTTTTAATTAAATCTAAAGGTGCAGACAATTATTTTAGTAATCAGTTAATCAATGAGTCGATTAGTCGATTAATCAGGTACAAAACGGAACACAGATGTTTTATGTAACCACTGAAGCCTTTTTAAAATACAAAATCAGAAATATACATTAAAAAATGCAAATAAACAAATAATTCCATTAATTTTTTAAAAGAGGACAAATACTTTTTTTCCTACAGTGGTGGAGGAGTTTTGGCTAAAACATATTTATTAGACAAACATGTTTTTTTGTACAGTTTTGACTTAATCAATAATTGATTAATCACAATGAATACAATTAATCGTTTAAACCTTATTTAATTAAATGTTATTTATTTTCAGTTTTGTGAAAATATCAGAAAACACAAAATGTAAGTGTAATTCTAACACGATGTAAGTGTCAAATTATTAACAGTTTTAAACATTTTAAACAACCTAAATATAAAATATATAATTAAAAAATATCAATTTTGATCTAAATTCTCTGGACATTTAAGAATTTCTCTAAAATGGTTCCCGCAGCATCACAGTTCCTCCCCTGTACCTCATCGTCAGCATTTGGTTCTTTAAGTAAACATTTCTGTGTTTGCTACATCCTTGTCTCATCTGAAGTTAGCATGTAGTGTCTAATGGTTTCTATGGCAACTTGATGATGCAGTTAAGCCTCAGATTTTTTTACATTTCTCCATCTTTCACCATCTTCTTTAGATAAAGTTGAGTTCTGGTTCAATCTACTGAAGCTAACAGAAAAACATCTCTGTCACGCTATATTAAGAAATTAATTACTAATAAAAATTTTATATGAAGTTTGATTTCATAAAAAACAAAAACATTGCTGTATTTATTTTGAAACTGTGCCCTTAATTGTGCTATAAGCAATTATTTCTTTGCATTTTATTATTTCCCAATAAAATAATGTTACTTATACATTTTCCTTTTATTTGTGATATTTTCATTTATCTTTTTCTTACAGTTGCTTATTTTTATACAGCAGCTGCCATGTTGTATTTTAAGTGTTTTAGGAGTAAAGTAGGATACGGTATTTATTTTTGACATTTTTCAGAGCAGGATGAATTCATTTTCAGGATTTTTATACTTTTTGGTTTTCATCTCATTTGCATAATGAGGCAGAAATGCATAGGGAAAAGTAAAAAGAGGAGAGGAAGAAATGTAAAAAGAACAAACGCATGGGAAAACGCAAAAGAAAATATATAAATTTTCTGGTGAAACTGCATGAATAAAAAAAGGAAAAACAATATATATTTCTTCTTGAAAACTCATGCATATGGTAATGGAAGAGGAATGTCAACATTTCTGCTTCCATTTTTAATTTTGACAGTTTTGGTCCTCCATATTAATCAGGGTCGCAAATAATTTTCTCAATTTAGTTGGTGTTTTTTTTTTTTAATAATCTGACTTCTTTTTTTCTTTTTAACTGTTGCTGTTTTTTAAAATGTGTTAAATCAACACATTAAATTCTGCGACTTGAATTAGCATTAGCATGTAGGTTAGCATGTTCAGAGGGAACATCTGGGATAAAAACCGGTTAAGAAAAATAAATAAATTCAATGTTACCTCTTTGTGGAAGATAATTACATAATTTCCATGGGTATTTTTGAGTATTTGAGTAAATCTGAGACTAATTGCGGATGGAAACTTTCCTCTCAATGCCGCTGTTGTTGCTCTTTTGTCCAGCTGAGCTTTGGGAGTGAAGGGGGAACAAGTGCTGCTGCTCTCTTGGCTTTTAGCGATAAGAGCTTTAGCTCCTTTTGTGGCTTTGTGTGGGTTGGACTGTCATTGTTTGACGAGGCTGTTTGCCTCCAACCGACATGCTTTATCCAAACAAATTACCGGGACTAATCTGGATCCTTTTAGCCGAACAAAGCCCGCGGTTTTCTTATCTGGGAGCTAGCCAGGTGTTAACAATGTGATTACGCTGATGTGCTTTCAGTGACCTACGGTATGACCAGCTCCAGCAGCTATTATTTCACCAAAGCCATGACGGATCTGTTTGTGGGCTCGGCCAGCCAAAATGGAGTCACGTTTCAGACCATTGGCACCATGGCCGACTTCTGGGACGTGAGTTTCATGTTTGTTTTTCCACGTTTTGCTTGCTGATGTAAGATGGCGTGTCAGGGCTACTGTAGATGGAAGAAAAACTGAGAAAATTCCTGCCAAAAAACTGAGAAATTTTGAGATTAATACCAAACCTTTTCTAGAAAGAGCAGGGACATTTCTGAGTTTGAAAAGTAGAAAATTTTCAAGAAAAAATATTGGACATTTTAAGATTGATCACAAAAACTTTCTGAAATTTCTGAATTTGAAAAGTTTTTTTTTTTTTTGTTTTTTTACTTTTGGAAACGTCTGAAATTCAGAAGTAAAAATTTTTAAACTTTTGCAGGTCAAAAATTTTCAAATGTTTTCTAGAATATTTCTGAGAATAATCTGAACATTTCTGAATTTTTTTCTACCAAATTTTGGGTTTCACAAGCGCAGAAATTTCCTTGATTTCATATATATATATAAGAGAGATTAATATAAAAAAATTCTGAATTCTTTTCTACCATATCATTTATTTTTCAAGCTCAGAAATGTCCAGGTTTTTTAGAAGATTTAATCTCAAAGTTAAATTTAGTTCTGTTTTTCTATCTATAGTGGCTCTAATCCGCCGTCGTACAAATGAGAGAATGAGTTAAAGTTAAAATCAGTCTCTGTCTTATTCTCTCTGTAACACCAGTACGCCCAGGGTCCGTTACTGGAGGGGCTTTACTGGACCAAATGGTACAACAACCAGTCCCTGGACAGTGGAAACCAGTCGTTCATCTACTATGAGAACATGCTGCTCGGAGTTCCCCGGATGAGGCAGATTAAGATTAAAAACAACTCCTGCAAAGTCCATGAAGACTTCAAAGATGAGATTTCCGGATGCTTTGACGTCTACAACGAGAAGAAGGAGGACGACCTCAGCTTCGGTCTCATCAACGGCTCTGCGTACGCCTCTTCTCATCTCCTGCGAAACAACGAAAATGATGGGGTGGCTTTTAAAGCGACACAGTCAAAGATAAACAGCCGTAATCTGGGTTACGTAGTTTTTCATGGGAGAAAAAATAGGGATTCGTTCTAAAAAGTCATATTTTCACAATGTTATAAAACAGTTCCAAGATAAATATTTAGTTTTTAAACTAAATATTTAGTTCCACATTTAGTTAGCAACTAAATATTTATATATTTAGCAAGCTAAATATTTAGCTTGTTCATTAAACATTTGAGCTTTGTGGTAAATATTTAGCTTGTTCATTAAACATTTAAGCTTTGTGGTAAATATTTAGCTTGTAGACTATATATATTTTTTGTAAGCTAACTATTTTGCTTTTTTGCTAAACCTTTAGATCTGAGCTAAATATTTAGTTGAAAAACTAAATATTTAGTTTAACATTTAGTTAAGCTAACTATTTTGCTTGCTATCTAGACATTTAGCTCATAGCTAAATATTTTTGGCTGTCAACTAAACATTTAGCTTTGAGCTACATATTTAGCTTACAGACTAAATATTTAGTTAGTGACAATTATTTCATTTGCTAACTAAACATTTTACTCAGCAAGCTAACAGCTAGGAAGCTTACTGCTTGCTAACTGAATATTTAGCTCTGAACCAAATCCTTAGTTGGTAAACTAAAGATTTAGTTAGCAACCTAGATATTTTTCTTGCAAACTAAACATGAACCTAAGTATTTGCTTTGTAAATATTTAGCTCACTAGTTAAAATTTTAATGGATGAAATAGTGAAATATGAGTATGATAGGCTAAACATCCCAGAGTAATGGTGTCACTTTACAAACCCCATACAATGTATATATATATATATATAAACATTGTTGTGGCAGCATTGAGAGAAATAAACCTTCCTCCTCTGTAGGTGGTGCTACCACACAGAAAAAGACATCAAAGGTTCCTCCTACTGGGGCCTCCTGACCACGTACAGCGGGGCCGGGTTCTACCAGGACCTGAGCCGGACCAAGGAGGACAGCGCCAACATCCTGGCTGAACTGATGGAAAACCTTTGGCTGGACCGAGGAACTAGGGTGGTTTTCATCGACTTCTCAGCCTACAATGCAAACATCAACATGTTCTGTGTCGTCAGGTGAAGTTTTCCAACATTTTATCACATTTAAAGGTGACCCATTATGCTTCCTTGAACAAGTTAGGATGTGTCTATGGCCTATACAAAACACGTTTATCTGATTTGTTTTGCATAAAATCAGTCTTAGATGATATTATACAACAGTACATCTTTGAAAAGCAGAAGTGGAACTTTCTGCACAACAAACGAGAATGCAGAAAGTTTTTTCTGGGTGGTAAGTCAACAACAAAACATCTGCCTTTTCCAGCAGCCATTGTACAGCGCATACAGCGGTAAAACCAAAGGTGCTCGACACCAAAAAACATTAAATTTTCTGTGTTCATCTGTTCAGCCATTTGGAGGAACAATGGCTGGAATTTATTTCATTTATTTTGGTTGCATACAAACTCATTTTGGTTCTTTCTGACTGGTCGGTTTGCGTCTCCCAGGTTGGTGGTGGAGTTCCCAGCGACCGGCGGCGCCGTCCCGTCCTACCAGATCAGAACCGTCAAACTGATCCGCTACATCACCCACTGGGACTACTTTGTCCTCGGCTGTGAGTTGGTCTTCTGCGTGTTCATCCTCTACTACGTGGTGGAGGAGATTCTGGAGCTGCGGATACACAAGTTTGCCTATTTCAAAAGCATCTGGAACATCCTGGACATACTGGTCATACTGGTAGGAGACGGATTCAGGCCCAGATTCAGATCCGCTGTTCGTACTGAAGGAAGTAACGGCGTTTTTCTCTCCAGCTCGCCATCGTTGCGATTGTCTTCAATGTCTTCCGGACCATCAAAGTGGATAATCTGCTCGGGTCGCTGCTGGAACAGCCGGATTTATACGCCGATTTTGAGTTTCTGGCTTTCTGGCAAACCCAGTACAACAACATGAATGCTGTGAATTTGTTCTTCGCCTGGATCAAGGTAAACTTTTCACATCTTTTACTGTTTATTGTTACACTTAAAAAAGTTTCCAGGCCCCTTAAATGTTTCAGACCAGCAAACTGATGAAGATAAACAGCCGTAATCTGGGTTATTTAGCTTTAGGGATTCATTTTTAAATGTCCTAATTTCACAATGTTATTAATTTTTCATTCAAAGATTTCACAGTTCTAAGCTAAGTATTTAGTTTTTGAACTAAATATTTAGTTCCACGTTTAGTTAGCAACTAAATAGTTATATATTTAGAAGCAGAATTTTTAGCTTGCTAAATATGTATTTGGTTAACAAGCTAACTATTTAGCTTGTTCGTTAAACATTTAAGCTCTGGGCTAAATATTTAGCTTACAGACTATATATATTTTTTGTATGCTAACTATTTTGCTTTCTTGCTAAACCTTTATATCTGAGCTAATTATTAGTTTAACATTTAGTTAACAAGCTATTTTGCTTGCTATCTAGACATTTAGCTCATAGCTAAATATTTTTTAACTGTCAGCTAAACATTTAGCTTTGAACTACATATTTGGCTTACAGACTATTTAGTTAGTGACAACCATTTAACTTGCTAACTAAACATTTAGCTCAGCAAGCTAACAGCTAGGAAGCTTATTGCTTGCTAACTGAATATTTAGCTCTGAACTAAGTCCTTAGTTGGTAAAGTAAATATTTAGTTAGCAACCTATTCAAAATAAACATAATATAAATAATCACAAAATATGGTTTTTTAATAGTTATTTCATTTAGTAAGAGAAAAGGCAACTAGTTTTCCTGTATGAAAAAGTATTCACCTCTAAACTTTGGAGGCGACTGAGAGGCAGTGAGCTGTTCACTGCAAAAACACAAAAACTTACCAAGTATTTTTGTCTAATTTGCAAATAATATTTTAATTTACACACAGACTATATCTCGCTGATATAGGAGATATAGTTTTTCACACAGGGCCAGATTGGTTTGGATAGCAAGCTAGCTAAGTTAGCATGACGCCATTTTAAAATTAGCCTTTAGCTGTAACTTTTCAGAGTAACGAAGGAGAAAACCATCAGACAGTAACCTCCTTTTGATCTTTCTGTAGATTTTCAAGTACATCAGCTTCAATAAGACGATGACGCAGCTGTCCACCACGCTGGGCCGATGCGCCAAGGACATCCTGGGCTTCGCCATCATGTTCTTCATCGTCTTCTTCGCCTATGCGCAGCTTGGATACCTGCTGTTTGGAACCGAGGTTGAATCCTTCAGCACATTCGTCAAGTGCATGTAAGTGGTGACAAATATCCAGAGTAACTACATTTACTCTTTTGAAAAAGTTTACTTTTAGGAGTATTTTTACTGCGCTGTACCTTTTACTTTTACTTGAGTAATTTTAGTTTGAAGGATTTCTACTTTTATTTGAATAAATTTTCTGTAATTTCTACCCACTGAATGAAAAACAAACATGTTTTAACCTAAAGTTCCCCAGACACACACCTGCAGTTTTAATTAAGAACAGCTACTTTTTATTTTTACTTAAAAATATGTTGAAGTAGTTCTACTCTTAATTGAGTAATATTTTTATTTACCCACTGCTGTAAATATTACCAAACAGACTAACTGGAAAAACTGCGTCGGTTTTCCTTCTGTTGCAGTTTCACACAGTTCCGGATAATTCTTGGCGACTTCGATTACGATGCAATCGACCGCGCAAACCGAGTCCTGGGGCCCATTTACTTCGTCACCTACGTGTTTTTTGTTTTCTTTGTCCTGCTGGTAAGAATTTCTGCAACAAATGTTTGATTTTAGGGCTAAACCTGAGCGGCGGTTCATGTGTTTCTCCTTCCAGAACATGTTCCTGGCCATCATCAATGACACCTACTCAGAGGTCAAAGAGGAGCTGTCGTCTCAGAAGAACGAGCTGCAGATTACTGACCTCATCAAACAGGTACGGACCAGATTAAATCACCTAATATCCACACAAGGATTACTAACGACACGGATTCCTTAAAACCTCCAGAGCTACATGAAGACTTTCATGAAGCTGAAACTGAAAAAAGAGAAAATATCGGACGTTCAGGAAGCTCTGCAGTCTGGATCCGGAGAAATCGAATTCAAGGATTTCAGAGAGACTCTTAAAGAGTAAGAGGCAATACGTAAAAATATTATTATTATTATAAATCCTGTCTAACATCAGAGCTGAATTTGCAGGATGGGTCATGAAGATAAAGAAATATCCGCGGCTTTCTCACAGTTTGACCGAGACGGAAACCAGGTTCTGGATGTAGACGAACAAACGAGGATGAAAATCGAACTGGAAGAAAAACGGGTTTGTTTCAAACTAAATCAATCATCTGTTTTTACAGTGTCTTGGAAAAGTATCCCATTCAGAAAATGTGGGAAAAAAATTAAATTAATTATTCTGTTTGGTTTGGGTGTAAAAATCAGGATGCTCTTAACGCCGAGCTGAACAACCTGGGAAGGAACTACGGAAAAGAGTTTCCGGAGAATCGTTCGGCCTCAGATGATGAAAAGAGTCGAGGCTTCGTGGTGCAGGACCAGTTCCTCAGGTAAAAACAGATTAATTTGGGAAAATGAGACGTGACTGGTGAAACGGATTAAAAGCAGGTTTTGTTCCTGACAGGCTGAGCAGGCGGGTTCTGCAGATGGAAACGTCGGTGGCGGCGCTCACATCCAGGATGGACCTGATCATGGAAAAACTGGGATTAATGGGAAACAACGTCAGTATTCAGATTGAACCAGATTAAAATGTTTCTATGCTCTATTGGGCAAAAGTTTTCTGCTTTCCTTTAAAAGCCTGAAATTTGAAATAAAATGTAGTTTTTATAAAAAGGATCAAATTTCCTATTGTAATAAAATATATAACTTTTACTTTCCAAAAATCATGTAACTATGGAAACTCATTTGAAAGAAAAAGCAGGAAGTCGTTTTTACGAGTTTCAGTTTCATTATGAAAGACAAAGTCATAGTTTTGACTTTCAGTCGTAATTTTCAGATTTAGTCATAATGTTGATATTTTCCAAATAAAATCTCCTTTATTTATCTAATTTTATCTGATTTTCTCCCCCAGAGCAATCGATCGTCTTCACTGACGTCTCAGATGTGATGAACCTGCTGGAAGCGGATCAGTGAAAAATATCACCGCCTGAAAACAAGCTAGCAGCAGCAGGTTGTCCTGGAAACGTGTAAATACTGTAAAAATTATTACGACTGTATCGCCTACCAGCTATCTGACTGCAGCAGAACGACGGCGCAACAGGGCCAGAAGACCAGGAGGAGTAAATTTCAGCCAAAAAACTCAGAAATTTTAAGATTAACCTCTGGAAATTTCAAGGTTATGGACATTTCTGCTTTTGAAAAATCAAAAATATAAAATTTTTGTAAATTGAAAAGTCAAAAGATTGGTAGAGAATGATCAAATAATTTTAAATTAAATTCAAATTTTCTAGAAAATAAATGAGATTTTGAGATTTATTTCAGAAAACTTGGGAAACAAATCCAAGTTTTTTGGGGGGCAAGTGCAAATCTGTCAGTTTCAAAATTTAAAAAATGTCAAATTTTAGAAATTTTCTGACTTTGAAAAGTCTAAAATTTCCTTGAGAAAACCCTGAAATTTTGAAATTAAACTCAGAAATTTTCTAAAAGTAAATTGGAAATTTCTGAGATAAAAATGTCATAATATTTTAATCTCAGAAATGTTCTGGAAAAAAATTTGAAATTTAAAGTAAAAAAAAAAAGACTTTTGGAAACTTTTTGAGCTTGAAAAGTTAAAACTTTAATAGAAAAAAACTCCCAAATTTTTAAATAAGAGATTTTCTGGAAAAAACTTGGAAATTTGTTTCAAAAATTTACTTTTTTTAAATTTATTTTTGAAACCTCTATAATTTTTTAAAATCAAAATTTGTTTACTTTAAATTACCAAATTTCCATGTTTTTTTTCTAGAAAATTTCTGAGATTAATTTCAAAATTTGGCTTATTCTGACAGAAACTTACTTTTTGTTCCATCTGCAGCGGCCTCGATGCGCAGTAGAGATGAGACAGAAAGCAAATTAATGTTTAGTTGGTTTCAGTGGCACAGCCATGTTTCTAAAAACTAAGTACACCCTGTGCTGTAACATCTTACACCACCGGCAGCAGAAAAGCTCCTGCTGGGTTGGCAAATTGTTCTCACTAGAAAGAAATTCAAACAGATTGGAAGTGACTCAAATCTGACTCCACAAAAATCTGATTTCATCGTTGTGAGATTCTGCTGTTAAATATTTCCATCTCTACCAAGTGAGTCAAAAAACATCGAGGGCGTCTTTAGAGCTTCTACTTCAATCCTTTTTAACCATCTTGTTATTAATGCTAACAGCATTTAGCATACCGAGGCCTGGAGGCAGACATTTCCCACTTTTTGAAAAAATGTATCCTGTCCAGCTGTAAATCAATCAGATTTTATGTCAAAGTGCCAAAAAGAATCCGAACCGTTTTATTTTCAGACGTTTATGGACCAATTGATATATATTTAGAATATTGTAAGAATTTGCTCTGGGTTGATTTCAGTCAATTTGGACAAGGAGGTGGAAAAGAGCAAGACATAAGAAATATTTTCCACATTTGGAAAATGTTCCTTTAATATCCTGGAATCGGGCTTATAACCAGCGGTGCTTTCATTTAATTTTTATGAAAAGTGGGGGTCAGGTCTGGCCTGTAAAAAATTTAGGCTGGGGAAACTTAAAAAAATAAAATAAAAACTTCAGGTGTGGGCTGTGGTCCCCTTTATCCCCCCTCTTGAAAGTGCCACTGCTTATAACTTAAAACAGACTAATACTGAGTAACAGCTGCTCAGTGTTTCAGAGCAAATAACTACAAAAACTTATGGTCTTAATGGTGTTAACGCTAATAAATAAACTTAACTTCCCCCACTTTACTCATACAGAAGCAGCAGGGGTGTACTTAGTTTCTATCACTGTATGGAGATCAAAACTTTCTCTTCGCTATGATTGTAAATCTGTGTTGCAAAATAAATACTTACACAGTGGCGTTAGTGAAAAAATAAAATGTATTTACTTCATATTCTAATCATGCTGCCTTTTCAGAATGAGCACAAAACCTCATTATATACTGGATAGTAGTTTACTTTGACTAGACCTACGAGGCCTTTAGAAGTGAGCTTCAAAAATGTTGTCCTGTAAGTTAAAAATCTTTAGTTTGATTAAATCTGTTAATGTTGCATAAAAAGCAGTTTTACAGTGTTTGTGTTTTGCTGTCAGACTCATAGAAAACATTCATGATGTCTAATAAACGTCCTGAACAACGAGGTACAAATGCTCCTTTATTTGAAGTGGCCGAGTTTTCTGTTCTGCTAACAGCTCCAAAAATAATTACATTCACGTTCGAAGCGATTCGTTTGTGCAGCTCAGCCACTTCCTGCTGCACACAGGAAATGGCACACACACATAAATACCAGGAAAAATTCAACGTTTTCAAAACAAATCGGCCGTTTGACTTTATTAACAAATCAGTTAAGGCGTATTCATAAATTATGCTGCTAAAATATTCAAAAAGAATATTCTTCTAGAGGGAGTTAACCAACATTATGTACATTTTATAAAGGTTTACGATTCCTTGAACACTTCAAAACTGAAAAGAACCAAAACATTTCGTTCAGCAGACATAAATTAGCTTTTTAAAGGGCACATATCATACATCATATCCTAAACCTGCAGTAGATTTTTAAAAAGATTTTTTTAAATAAAAATACCCTGGTAACCACACCGCTCTTAAACAGGAAGTGAATACCATATATGGAAGCTGTGATATTCAGTTTTTATGTTTTTTACTGGAGAAACTGTTTAGTTTAAAAAGGGGAACATGTTGAATGGATGTTTTATTTTCAGCATTATGAAATAAAGGAATAAAGAGGACACAACAGAGTTTATAACATGGCTACAACGGATCACCGCTAAGGTGGATATGGTTGTTTGTGAGCATAAAGTTTACCCAGAAATTAAATACCTTTTTTCTTTTTCCAGCTGTTTTTATTTGTCCACAAAATGTTTACTGATTTCTGCAGGTCCAATTAAATCCCCAAAAGTTCCTGATGCATGTTTAGCCCTGATAATTAGCTTCAACGTTGAGCATCAAAACCAAACAATTGAGTTCGACTGCAAATCAGTATTTATTCCTCTGATCCAGCACTTTTAGGTCTAAAGAACTTGGTTTACAAATATCAAACCTGGAGATAAACTTCTAGAGTTTGACTGGCGTGTCACAACGCATCGTAGTAAAAGACGGACATTTTATATGGAAAAAGTGAGACTTACACAATCACTGTACATGTATTCTGGTCAGAATCACAACAGCTGGCAAAATTTGTGGTTTGTATTTTGTTTTTGTGGTGAATTATGGCACCAAAAAGAGCAGATAAATCCCAAGGTCGGGTGCTGGTTGGCTAGGTCTCCAATGTACCTCAAAAATTACCATATAAATATTCATCTTATTTAAAATTCAAGATGGAGACTTTCCATCACTCTTGAGCAACTTCTAAGTGTTTTTTCTCCATTTTTATGATGGAAATTAATTAATCTTCCTGGTGAAAATGCTAATATATGCCCTTTAAATTCTGACACACCATGCAGAATAGCACAAATAAAACCCAAAACAGCAGGATTCAAGTAATTGTCTTATTGTAAATTGACTAGAAATGAAAATGTTTTAAAAGAACAAAAAAAACTTCCTAAAGTTTGAAAGCATCAAATGAAAATGAAATAAATCCTGCTGCCAACCAGAAATCAACATTTAAAAAGAGAGAGCTCCTCTGACCAAACTGCTTCAAAATGAGCAAAAAGCCACCTCTACCAGGTTTTAATGTTATTTACACAAGGAGTGAAAAGGTGCAGCTTTGTCCAGATTCAACAACATAAATTCAAACTTGGCTGCATTATCGTCCAAAATAAAACGTCTGAAAACGACGAGCCCTCCGCTGCAAAAAACAAACTCCTTTAAAAAGATGGCGTTCTCAGCATTTCTTTGTACACAAACTTTCTTCAGGAAAACAAAAATCCCACTTAGATTTCAAAGAGCAACACAAAGCAGCCGAATAATAATCTTCAAAAAGATCGATTTATGCAAAACTGCGTTAAAACCAGACATGAAAAGGAAAAACTATAACGTTTGCTCTGTGTTTTAGAAAAATGTCCCGATTAGTAAATCCATTAAAATATACTTCTAAAATCATTTCCAGACTGGGAGGAAGGATAATTTAACATTCATGCTGCTAATCCACATCCAAAGTGTTTTGAAATGTCAAGTTTTGGATTTAAAAACTGAAAAAATTGTGACTAAGAAGTTTTTCTGTTTGGATTCCAAATGTTTAAAGTTTGGTTTATCCTTCAGTATTCAGGCCAGGTTAGCTGCTTTGGTTTTCCTTTTCCAAAACATCAAAATAGTAAATAATCACCTTATAAACAAAGTTCTGAGTCAGGAGGACAGTGATTTATAAAACCGGTTGTTAACAACCAAACTCTGTATAAATACGACTCCTGCTCTCTCGTTTCTGTCCGGATGAAAAGTGCCGTTTTGTTTTTCCCTTGGTGGTGTGTTCGGGTCGGAAACGTCTCACTGCATCTGGTAGCCGGCCATGTTGAAATTCCCCACGTTGGAAACGACGGCGTCAGGAGGCGTCGGCGCCGAGGCGTAGCCGCCCATCCAGGCCGTCGACTGCGACTGCCTGCAGGCCGAGCAGAGCAGCAAATATTCACTCAAATATTTCAGTTTCAGCGGATTTTACTAAATGCTGAACAGAGTTTAAAAAGTCTGGGGGAAGAAAACGGTTTTAACTGATTATACAAAGTTTGTTCACTTTATACGCATCTTGTATCACTTACATAACTTCTGATTTTTTTAAAAACCTGTAAAACAATACAAACGTAGGAAATAAAACACTTTTTAACTTTACCTGTCGCAATCAGCAATAAATCAACTAATTGCATGATCAATTAAACCAAGCACAATAATTTCTGTTTGCATGATTTATAGTTATAGTAATTTATAGTTTCTCTCAAAAACTGGATGATAAAATGTTTCATTCTGGTGCGTTTAAAACCCCCAAACTGTCCCTTTGATTAGGACTGTTATATTTACTACAGATGCACAGATATGAACATTTGTGCCGATATCGATATCCAATATTAATATTTCCGATATGTCTATAATCTATATCTACTGATATTATATGGATTTCATTACTATTTCAACACTTTTGGGGAAAAACAACCAGAAGTGGATAAAAAATAACTACCGGTTGTTCATATCGGCCCAGTTTCATTTATCGGACCGATATCAATGTGTTGAAAAATGACCGATGTTGTTCCATACCGATGTTGATGCCGATATATCGTGCATCCCTAATTTATTCCTTTTTTACCTTTGGTCAATGAACTGAAATTAAATTCAGTTACAATTTGCAGTTTAATTATATGAATCACATTTTTTAATGTGACTGGTGTAAAAAAACACATATTAGAAATTTAAACGTTTCTCAAACAACAATACCGTTGCATAAAAAAGAAGCAATAAACAGTTTTTTATTGTAATTTTTATGATAACATTTTAATTGAATTACATCCATTGTCAAGAATTTTAAGCACCCTGACTAATTGTGTTTAAATCATAAAAGCTTCACAAAATTTAACAGAAAAAAGCCAGGAAAAAAAACAAAAAAAAAAAACATCTTCAGAATTAATTTTGTATTCCATGTTTATCTGAACTTTAAAAATATTCCGCAGCAGGAACTCCATATACGGTAAACTGCTGTCAGGGATTCCTCTTAAAGAGACGGCGTCCTAATGGAACAGGAACTCACTCGGCTCCGTATCCCTGCTGGCTCCATGTCTGTCCGTACATGTTGTAGGAGGGAACCTGCCAGCCGTTGGCCATGTACTGGCTGTACTGCTGCTGCTGCTGCTGCTGCTGCTGCTGCTGCGGGTCGCTGTACACATGGCTCCACTGGCCCCAATGGCTGTAATCCACCTGACAACACAGTTCATCAGATTAACAATCTGACTACATAAAAAAAGATGGCTCATTCTGAAGAGTTTTCATTTAACCATTAGTAAAAGAAGAAAATAAACATCCTATGTACTAAAATCATTTAGGATGAATCTGCAGCTAAAAAATATACAATGTGAAAACTTCAACCTTTTCTGCTTAACAGGGATGATCGATTGATTACTTTTTGGATTAACCGATTAATATCTATAAAGCAAAAGATGCTTAATAATAGGGAGATTTTTGTATTTTTACAGTATTTTAACTGGGTAAAACTAAAACTGAGGAGTTCTGGGTCCAACATTTTCACAGACAAAAAAGTAAAAAAAAAAAAAACCTAAAAAAACCCAGAAATGTCTATTTGTTTTGTTCAGCTTTGGCTTAATTACTCCCTTAAATGTGTTTTATTTTTCACCAAACTGCCTTTTTCCTTTGAGTGTATATACTCCAGTTAACAATTACTAAATTAGACGATTATTTCAGTAATCGATTAATCACGATTAATCGTTTCGGCCCTACACTCAAGCCTTTTTATGCATTTGAAGTATATTAAAAGATGTAAATAAACAAATACTTTGATTCTTTTTTGAAAAGAAAAACATTTTACTGGCTAAAATGCAACATAGCGTTCCTTCAGTAAATGGAACAGAGTGAAGATAAAACTGCCACTTTATCAGTTTTGGCAAAAACATCTACAGACAACGGTGTTTTCATTTTAAATACAAAATTTATATATAGTTTGTACAAATTTACTGCTCTGAATGCGTTTTTATTTCACCAAATGGCCTCTTTTTTCCATCTGTATTCTCCAGTTAACAACTGATTACTAAATTAGTTCAATTATTTTGATAATTGATTAATCATGATTAATCGTTGCAGCTCCAGGGATTAATACTTCAAAAGGACTTCACAAAGATAGAAATGACATGAAAAACCAGAAACAGATTGGAAATCTGTGTCAGATTTTTAGTTATTTATTAAATAAATCAAACCGGTCAAAGTTTTACAGTGACCATGTGTCGTAGTTGGGAGGCAGAAACACAAACACTTGAGCTGAATCTCCTGCCAACATGCTGACTACACAGTCTGTCTGCCGCACTTTGACTAATTTGTTTGGCACAAATGAAACAATGATATCTGTAAAAAATGAAAACAACAATCACTGAAGCAGCAGTAACTTCTGGACAGACGCCAAATTTAGCTTCAAACATCATTTTCTTAAAACAACTGTGTGAAAATAAACACTCACTGTTGCTAGATTCAGCACCAGGAAATATTACATTTAGAAAAATACATTATTTATACCTCTTGGTCTAAATAAACCACAAACTTTAATATACTTTATTGGGATTTTAAGTGATAAAGCAACACAAAGTACCACATAACTGGAAAATGGAAGAAAAACACGGTTTTCTAACTTTCTAGCAAAGATTCTTGACTGTATTTAGCAGTGGACTTTGAGTAGACCATTTTAACACTGCAAGTGTTGTAATAAAATAAAATCTCATCTTCTACTTTATTATTTTATTTCAACTTGGAGATTGAACCCTGTAGTTCAGCCTTGGAATGTGACTGGATAGGAACGTTTAGACATATATATTTACAGACAAATGAGTTTTTATCTTAAATGAAAAATGTAGACAGGTTTTGTACAGATTTGACGTAATTACTGCTCCGAGTGTGATATTCTTCCAGAAAATTAGAGTCTGTATATTTTAATAATTAGTCATTGTCATTTCAGCAATCGATTAACCTGTTGGTCTCAGGTTGTCATTCACAATGACAGGGGTGTCAAACTCCAGTCCTCAAGGGCCGCTGTCCTGCAGTGTTTAGATGTGCCACAGGTAAAAAACAGTGGAATGAAATGGCTTACTTACCTCCTCCCTGTGTAGATCGGTTCTCCTGAGCCTTGCTAATGACCTAATTATTCTTTTCAGGTGTGGTGCAGCAGAGGCACATCTAAAAGTTGCAGGACAGCGGCCCTTGAGGACTGGAGTTTGACACCCCTGTCACTAGAGGACCCAAATTTGGGTCCTCTAGTGACAGACAGGTTAAACACGATTAATTTGATTAATCGTTTTAGCCCGATCTAAAATACTCCTAAAAAACCATCTAAAACGGCTGAACTTTTTTCTTTTCTTCGTGTTTTTCTGTGTCTGGGTTTTCTAAGATTTAACACAAAAATATAATTTGACCTGAATGACTTCAGAGCAGCTCTGGCTTTAAGTTTAGTTACTGTTTTTACGGGACTGTATTTTCATATTATTAGCTCTGTCCAGCCTCTCTGACGATGCCGCCATGTTCAGTTTAGGTTTCGCCTGTTTTGCGTCATTTAACACCAACCTGCTGTGGGCTTTTTGCCATGTCAGGAGACTCTTTGCCCCAGTAGCACTTCACCATCTGTCCCTCAATGACTGTCCCGTTTACAGAGACGATGGCGTGCGCAGCGCTGTCATGGGTGGAGAACCTTCAATACAAAAGGAACAAAACGGATCAGAACACAAGCAGTGTTACTGCCAACATGCTACTGTTGACATCTAGAGGCTAAACGCTGCCATGAGCCCTAATGATACCTGATGAAGGAATATCCTTTCTCTGGAAACACCCTGACCTCCATGATTTGACCAAATGGTGAAAACGTCTGTCGGATCAGATGTTCTGGAAGAACCACAGAGGAGAAAAAAATGTTATTCTGGTTAATTCTTTCAGTTTGGCAACCGGTAAGACGCCTATAAATATAGAGTGACGACATGGTGCAACAATGGCCTCCAGAGAATGTGGCACTCGCCTGTGAGACCCAGCTGGATCCCGCCGCAGTACACCGTGCAGTTCTGTGGACTCGACTGATTCACCACGTCATCAAACCTCAGCTGCTTTGAGCCGTCTGGCAAGAAACAAAAACAACAACAGATTTTAAAACAAACACAGAACTAAAAACCCATCCATGAAGAGATTGCCGTTTTAACACTGAAGGTGCGACCTCACAGCAGGAATCAAGGCTGAATCAGATTATCAGGTTACCATGGAAATGGCCCTGGCTGAAAGGCTTGTTTTCCCACTTTGGTTCGATTGACGACCAAAGTTGCGACATTTGTTACATTTTCAGCTGCTGCGGTTCGAACAAACCAAACCTTTTGAAAAACCTGTTCCCCTCCTCACCTGTGGGGGCGATGCACCAAAAATACAGAAGGAAAAGACACAAAACCACTGAAAAAGACACTGAGTGTAACTTCCGTCTTCATGAAATGTACACAAAAATGGAGTAGTGTCAGATTTCAGTGTTTGAACAGTTTCTTTTTTGTCTTCAGTAAAAGACCACGAGCCATTTCTCCTGTTTGTTTTGGCTGCATTTACCCAGAATGCCCTGCGCTGTAGACAAGTCCTGCTCTCCGGTCTCTTAGTGTTCACATATGCATTCGAACCAGAGTTCAGTTTTTAGAGTTCAATTAGCATTCAGATCTCCCCAAACGAACCGGACTCTCTAGACAAGTTTTCTAGAGAACATTTCTAAATCTTAAATGTTTTAAACAGGTTTGGTATAATTACTTCTCTGAATGTGCGATTCTTCCAGAAATCTGCCTCTTTGCGATTAATCAATTACTAAAATAGTTGATGATTATTTGAATAATTGATTAATCGTGATTAATCGTTTCAGCTCTATGGTAGATTACGGAGTTATAATCCCAGATTGCAGATTCCTAATCCTCTCTATCGAAGCAACAGACAGAAATCTGTGTTGGCAACATTTGCTGATTGTTGCATTTTTTAAATGGAGTTTGGTGTGAATATGAATGAGTTTTAAAGTGGAATTGATTTGAATCACTCAACAAATGCTATGTCATTGGATTTTAGGCCATTCAATGTTTATATTCTTATTAAAAACTGACAATTTAAATAAAAGAAGTGCAAGTATTTAAATTAAAACATTTTGCTAAATGTGGCACACAAAAAAAGTCATATTAATCGATTAATCGTAGAATAATTGATTAAAATAATGCAGTAAGTGTCTTTAAATGAATAATTTCCTGTCGATACTCACTGTCCTGAGCACTTTTGGGGGCCGGAGGTTTACGCGTCGCCCAGTTTGTCCTGATCTGCCGCCCGCCGAGCCACTGACCCGCCATGTGAGAGATCGCATTTTCTGCATCCTGAAACCCAAACAGAGGAACAGCGCAGCTCTTCAGAAACAAAAATAAACTGCAGAAATTACAGTTTTCAATTCTGCAAAACTTAAAAACTGGCATTGGCAATGAGGAAACTGGGGTGTGTGACGTTTAGTGGCACTAGCTGACTGTCATTTCATCTATTCTGAGCATTTTAAGGAGATGGAATAATAAAGGAAAAACATAACCTTCGGTCTGTGTTCCTGTACTGAAGCCTTACCAGTTTGTTGTAGAAGGACACAAATCCATACCCTTTTGATTTGCCAGTTGTAATGTCCTTCACGACACGAGTATCTCTGAGGGGAAAACGAGGAAAAACAAAAATCAGCAAAATTTAGAAAGGCAATCCTCAGTAAAAAAAGGAACCACGCAAACACACAAACTCCTCTACTCTGACCTACAGTGGATTAAATTAGCTAACATGACCTACTGCTGGCTTCTTCAACACAAACATGAACAGATACATGCAGCCTACAGTATGCTTTAAATTATTTCACCACATTTTGGCTCAATCCTAGAGATTAAATTGACAGATTACCATGCATTCCTAAAATCTGCTGTAACTGCTATTCCTACAGACAGAAATGTAAATATATATATAAATATAAATATATATGAAATATCAGAAGAAAAAAAGGAATTAAATGGCATACGTGGCCTGTTAACAGATTTCTGTATTTTTCCTGGTCAATTCTTTACCACCATTATGCCGTTTGGACTTTGGGCAGCTGTAAATTTTGAGAAATTGACATTTTCAGAAAATTTTGGAAGAAGAGGATCATTGATCTACAAACAACACTACACAAATCAAAAAATGAGACAATTTAAGCAAAGCTGTCGAGGTTAAAAATAATAATAAAAAAAAAAAAAAAAACACTGTTGTATCTGCAAATAAAAACATGTGGGAATTAAAAAAATGTAATAATAGAGGAAGAAAAAAAAAACTACATCTGAGTCTCCAGAGTGAACAGCTCCTTGCTGTTAGCCTTCAAGCTGCTGTCCAATCCTATGAGCATTTCTGCAAAATAACCAAAGGGCTATTAAAACTTCACTGTGAAGAAGTACTTTAAAGGCGGTTCAGGTTCACACAAAGCTTGCATGTTGCTCTGAAGCGCTCGGTTCACTTACCGCGCTCTACATGGCGATAAAACGTAGGAACTGGTTAAATGCACAAACCGTAAAACACAAAACCCATATGACTGCTTAAATCTGTTAGAGTGGTTAAAAACACACACTGCTTTGCAAAAGTCTTCCTTCTCCTGAGCATCTTAAATCTGTCATTTGATAAATATTACATTTAATCTGGTTTTGAGGGAATTTTGTGATAGAAAACCACAAATTAATGCACAATTTTATCCAGTTTTTAACATTTATAACAAAGAAATCCTTCATTTGTCTGCAAAAAGAGCATCCACACATCATGATGCTGCCACCACCGTGTTTCAACACGGAGTTTGGGTGCAGTAGGATTTTTTCTGTTCATCAAAGTTCCACTTTTTTTCACGTGTTTCCAAACTTTTATTCTTATGGTTTTTAATAATACTGTTCTTCCCACCTGAGCTGTGGGTCTCTGTTGCTCCTCCAGAGTTAGCTTAGGCCTCATTTCTCTTCTCCTTTAATGTTCAACCCTTCACACAAAATCATCTGAGCCACAATTTTTGTTTTGAAATAATTCTTAATTGTGAGTTTATTGCAATTTTTTTATTCAAAAAATGATCGAAATCATTGGATTAAAGTAATGCCAGCTCTCACCTGCAGGTGGCAGTATTTATTATATCTACTGCAGTCTGGGGTCAAACTTTGACAAGCAAGGAATTCTGGGTAGAAAGTATTTACAGACAAAGGAGGTTTTCATCTAAATTGTGTGACGTATATATTTTTGACTTAATTCCTGCTTTAAATATGTAGACTGTTTTTCAGAAAATTTTAGAGTCTGTGAACTCCAGTTAGTGATTAATCGATCAATAAATTTGTTGATTATTTCAATAATCGATTAATCTGATTAGTTGTTTCAGCTCAACAAGTTTAGACAAATAAAATATCAACAAACTACCTTTGATGTAGTAATTATTTCATTTAAGCTTCTTAAATATCTTTTTAAATTTAAAAATGTGTTGGTGTTTGCTGAAACCAAGCGATTTAGTTTCTTTAAAGGATAAAACTATTCCTTTAAATAGTTTTATCCTCTAAATAGTTTTATCCTTTGTCTGCTTGTTATTTCTTCTCATCTTACTTTTTTCTATATGTAGAAGAAAAAATAACACAAAATTATTTGCAAATATTTCTAAAGTAACACCAAAAAATAAACAAATGATTTTATAAAAGACAATTGTGAAATCCTGGAGGGACTGATTGTTCTGTAATAAACCTCTGACTTCGCAGAGCAGCTGGATTATGTTTAAAACAAATTACACGCAGATTGACTTTATTATGTTACTTCTGAAGGTAATTGGTTATTTCTACAATATTTTAAAACAATTTATAATTTTCCTCTCACTTCTGAATTATGTGGTAATTTTAGATGATTTATCAAAAATCTAAATCCTAATAAAATACATTCAAATTTGAAGCTAAAAGATGGTAAAATATGAAAAAAGTTTGAGGGAATAAAAACTTTTGCAAAGGACTGTATATAAGCTCATATTTAAAATAAAGGTATGTATTAGTACCAGTAACCATGTTTACATGAAGAAAATTACTTTTATTTTAGTGACCACAATCCAATTTTTGATACATATGGAGCACTTATAATCCCAAAATTGACAATAATTAAATAAATATGACAATAAATAATTGTGAAAATAAAATATATTTAGAATAGAATATAAATAGAGCAGAAATAGCACTTATTGCCTCACAGATGTGAAATTTAGCAGCATCAGGATATGTACGTTCACACAAATGTTCCAAAAATGTTTATTTATACACATATTTATTGATTTTCAATGTCCTTATTTCTTCAGTTATTTAGTCATTTTTAAGTTTATTTCCTCACTAAATTATTTTCTTGTAAATTTTGGCCGGATCAGTCCTCCGTACAAAGCAACCCAAATTCGCAGAAGAACAACGTAACCGTCACACAGCAGAGAAGTTACTGCATGTTTTGTATGGAAGGCTGTTAGTCAGAACTGACAGTGGTGGGATTGTGATGTGATGAACTTCACTGACACAAATTTCTTTTATAATCCAGTAATTATCATTTTCAGCCATGTTTACGTCCATTTATCCCTCATCTGGATTCTTCCAGTGCAGAGCTACGACGCATGCCTCCCTTTCAGACCAGATATGTATCTGATTGATTGATTTATTTTCCGGATGAAAAAGATCAGAATTGGGCCGTTCAGATTGCCACGAAAGCGTCAGATATCGGTCACATTTGCCTGCTGTGAGAACGAAGCCTTAGTGAGCATCTGTTTGGTGACACCGGATCTTCATCTTCTCAGAAAATGTTCTTACTTGTGAGTATTTTATTGAATCAATTCCCCAGTTGAATGCATGTAAACATGGTCCCAGTTGGTGTTAGGCTTACAGTGCAGCTTCACAAAGCTAATTTCTACCCAACTTTTAACAAATAAAATGTTAAAGGAGCTCCACTTTAAACATGCATTTCATTACAATTATTAAAAAAAAAATGAACTTACGAGATTGCCCCGAAAGGTGAGAACGCAGCCCTGACATCATCAGTAGTAATCTCTGGATTCAAATCACCCACAAAAACATGATAGTGATCTGAGAAAAGGCAAAAACAGAAGCAAATACTTTAACATTATCTTAAAAATTCAAAATAATTATTAATCTAATTTTAAAACAATGATAAAAACAATAATAAATTTACTGGAGGTGTCTTTCTTCTGGCTACTAGGGGTGGTTGCCCAGTTGACTTTAACTTCCTAAAAATAAAAGAATAATTGAACATCATTAAACTGCAAAACAGATGAGAAAAAAAAGACCATTCACAAGAATCAAAATAAACGTTATTTAGATGAGTTGTCTATTTTATTTTAATGCTCTTCCCCTCACCTTTCCTAGTATCTTCCTGCCATTCATGGCTGCCAGGGCTGCAGCTGCATCTCTGCGCTCGTAGAACTCCACAAAGCAATATGGGTCATTGCTTGTGTGCTGCAGAAAAACAATGCAAAGCAAAATAAATAAATACCATCAAAGAGTTAATTTATTCAAATGACTCAATAAAAAAACCCTCAATTATTTAAATCCACTGTAAACACACAGTAATATTTCAAGTGTTTATTTAAAAGGCTGGAAATTCAAGGTGCAGCATGTTCATGGAAAGCTTAATGGAAGAAAAAAGTGACTGGAAAGACGGACAAGCAACAGACATAATCACAGCCTTTTAAATAAGAAATAAACCATGAAACGCCAAAGCAATCTGTAGGAGTTTATTTTTTAATAAATGAACATTTTCATAATGAAAACCAAACCAGGATCTCTACCTCTGTGATCATCTTGCAGCTTTTGCAGGGTCCTATCTGGGTGAAGAGCTGTAAAATCAGGATCTCTGTAACATCCCTGGACAGGTTTCCCACATACCTAAAGGAGTGGATAAAATTTTTAAAACAGTTTAGTCCAAATATAGCCGGACAGTGTGATTCAAATTAACAATACAGCGTCTTATTTTTGCCGCTTTGAACTTCTTCAGGTGAAGTTTTAGAGCGTAATTGTGACGTTATTCACATAAAATCCAAGGCCTAACGCCAAAAACGGCTAATAGAAAGAGTTTACTGTTAATACGTTCATCAAATTATTATTTAATTATTAATAATCTCTTTTAAACCTCGTGAATGAAGCTCCAGAGGCTGATTTTTGTTTAGTAATCGATGGTTGAGGAGCTAAATTAGCCACCGGTTTGATGTTAGCAAACGCTGCGAAATAAACCGCGAATATTGAACACTTAAAACTACGTACAGGGTTCTTGGGTAGCTTTCGTCGTCCATGGCCGATATCGACTAAGATCTAGTCAGAAATATTCGCTGAAAGGCAGATTAATAACTAGACAATCCCTGAAAACAACAACAACTGCTTAACTAGCTCAGAAGCTAGCTAACTATGCTCATGGCTTACGTCACGCTACGACTTCCGGGTTATCCGTCGTAGTAAAAGCTGAGGTTTGTTTCAGTTTTAACTGTAAAAATGTGTTTTCTTAGGGCATGTTCTGTTTGTGTCTGTATTTACTTAAACATTTATAAATAAAACAGCAAATCCAGAGGCTCGGATAAACTTAGTTGTTTTTGCAAAGTAACTTCCGTAAGAGGCCTCAACTTTGGAGTGTGACGCAAGGAAGCGCTTGTTTTTCACACCAGCGGAACATGCTGTTCACTTGAACTTGAAGGACAGTTCTGGAATCGAGTGGATTAATATTTGACCCACTCCCTTGACGCCCTACAATCCAAATAAGTGTGTGTGTGTGTGTATATATATATAAATATATATA